CCAACCACAGCATTTCTTTCTCAGGTCTAAGTGATGGTTTCTCAATTCCAAATGACAGTTTCGCAAATGAAAATTATAGTTTCTCAAAGTTATCTTAAAATGGTACAGACGAAACGATTAAATATCCTACAGTTCCTCACGTATCGTTCGCACAGCGACACAACTTCCACAATTCTGCATTCTTATTACACACCGAGGAATCTCTTGTTTTGGTTGTTTTCCATATAGATAGACAGCCAGAGACACCGCTAAAAGTCACGGCGCTGTTATGTCAGTTTCCAAGTTGTCTGAGTTCAGCTGTGATCAGTAAATGTCCACAGAACGTGCGTCTGCTGGCTGAAAGGTTCGATATGCATAAATTTTGGTCTCAAATGGAGCTATAACGTAATTATTCGGTTAAATTCTGCTTTTTGTGCGTGAAAGGTTCCCAAACTTTGTATTTGCTGCCAATTCGCCGCTGTTGTATCGTGGCGATATTCATTTAGTTGATAGTATTTTTCGTTGAGATTCAAAAAGTCCTAAACATTTTGATAGCTATTGCTTCTTCCTAGCTGTAACTGTATATGGCGTGGGTCGATTAAAGTATTCGCTGAAATCTGTTGGGAATTTTATTGTTGTTTTTTTCTCTGCGATTAATCCTGCCTGTTTAATTTCATTTAGAACTTGGTCAGCATCCTTTCTCGACAATGGGAAAATCGTCTAGCTGAGCAACAACAAGGCGAAAAACAACAACCGAGTGCACGCGTCAATAAGACACGTGCACACGATGCTCTCGGCACTTTGGTTTCATCGGCTTCCAGCTCAAGCGTTTCTCAGCGTCGTGCGGCTGCATTCAATCCACGGCATCGTCGTTCGCGCTCTGTCGGCGGGGATACCAGTCGTTGGTTGGAACATCAAGAAACGAAAGCAGTGCCCCTAGGCACTGTGTTCACCCCGAATTTAAAACGTCGTAAATCCGTCACTCAGGTCGAATTAAAGGATACTTTGAAAGCGACGAATTACCTACTCCATCATCAAGAAGCTGATTCGGACGGAAATATAGAAACACGTCTGTTCAAGGTATGTATTTTATCCATTTTTCAAGCTTAGTGCGTATTCCGGTTTTGGTGAGAATTTTCTCCAGTGTCCATCAGCGCCATCTGTGAGAGGAAATAACTTTATTTGCAAATTGAACTCCATTAATGACGAGTCCACACATACCCTAAGGCTAAATGTCGATGCTCATATAAATACTGAAATTGCCTTGTTACTTTTCCCCTTTAGTTGATGATGAAAGTGCATCATCATCTTTCATCAGATAGGTGATCTTTACCCTGTGTTACTATCAACTAACTTGTTGATGTTTCTTCTCTAGCTCACGCATTATTCCTGACATTTTTGCTACTGAGTAATTTAGTATTGTTGGTATTGAACAGCCTGTCTCATTCTGTCCCAATTTGCTTTGTTCTAGGGTTCCATCATTCCGACTGCAGGAGGAGGATCGGCTGTGATTTTTGATGATGTTGAAGAATTAAAACAACGCTCCCCGAGTACCAAGCAACGGTACGTTTCCGTCAGTTGAACCAGCACTGTTTCGAATCAGAATATGTCAACTTGACTTTTACTTATTTATATTTCTACTTGTTTGTCCTTCAGAAACTCATCCACTCCAAAACGCAAATCGTCACGTTTGTCGGCCCATCAACCGACATCCGGTTCGTCTGGCGAGGACTCACCTCCCGTGACCAAGGGTCGCAAGAGCACAAAAAGACGTCGTTCCCCGTCTACTGCTGCCCGTGAATCTGCTTCCTCTACAGGCACACAGTCCTCACAGAGCTCTGCACAGACCAATTCATCGTCCAACTACGAACCATTCGACATCCCTCCAAGCACACCGAGAATGCCCAATCATATGAATCGTGCGTCACTACTACTCGAGGACAGCACTCGAATCGGTATTACCAGCAACGGGGGCATGGGCTCATTTGGGTCTGCCACTAATCGAAATGCACGCAAGTGAGTTTTGCGTCATGTGTGTATGCTTGAAATCCAATTCATAAAGTTTTAAAATTTATTCTCTAGTAAATGGGTATGGAATTTCATCTATGATATTCTTAAACACTGGCTAGTGGTAGCTTTGCACCTCGTGGCCCACAGCATTTATGTGATATGGTTAGAGACTGTAGGCTACATGGCCCATTGTTGGAAACGCGGGCATTTTAGAATCCTTTTTATACCTTTCCCTAATGGTAGATAAACATGATGCCAAAACCATCTGCTGTCGATCAAAGCCACCAATGTTTCCGTTCACTCCTAACTGAGCTTAGACAGCTGGCTCCAGGCGATTTTTCCAGTGCATAGAAATGTATAGATAGATCTGAGAAGCCAATACAGTAGGTTGACAAAATTAGTAATGCGAATTGGAACACCGTATGCACTTTTTCTGGAATGACGGAGACCATAAAGGGAAAATCGACGGTGGTTGACGCCAAAAAAAACCACCAATAAATTGAACCTCTTCTATCGAGAACAACAATCCTTTTCGTGTGAACGAACGTCACACAAGCCATTCTGTTACACTAATTCATCTGTCATTTTCACCCACCATGACTTCAAAAACAGACACCTCAAATCAATTCTTGTTTTTACAAGTGTCTGCGGGCATTAAGGTTTTATGGGCAATAAGGGTGTGTATTTGGCTTGTAGGAATATGTCGGCAGGTGGTCTGAACTGATGAGGACAGTTTCATTTTGAGAAACGGTGACAGATTAATTCATGTATCTCGGCCACGTGGAACAAGATGATGGCAGGTTTTTCCGGGTTTGGGAATGAATGTGCAGTTCTGATTGGATATTTTACTAGGGCCAAGTTATTGTGCTGTTCTAGACTGCTATCTGCTTCCTCACACACCCAGCATAGAAAGATGAATCCTGTAGGTCACGTCGCTCTTGTATTGTGCAGGAGTATAAACTTCATCCCGGAATCGTCTCTTTCTCTTTGGACCAGCCTACTTGCCGAATCTCAGTCCAATTGGAATCATTTGATGGAGAGAGAGAGAGAGATGGACTAAGAAGCAAGAATGGGAAGCAGTGCTCTGAGGTTTTGTCCAGAAAATCATCACTAACCTTTGAGATTTGATGAAGTATAGAAGTATAACAGTACAGAAGACTTACCAACACGCGAATGGCTTATCCTGAAGGAGTACCACGAACTTTAATGTATCTCAGTTTGACGTAAGTCCTGATGTTTATAGGGTCTTTTTGTGCCTTCAAGATCAGAAAATGATTTGTAGTGTCAACCTGCCACGTATACCGCCGAATAACCATTGAGCTACTGTTCATCCTCATTAGTAATCATCAGCAGTGCAAATCCATCGAAAAGAGAGTGCATCAATGGTTGCATTTGTATCCGGGTGACTGTGGTCAACTTCCAAGGACACCGACGTACGAGTATTACATTGTTGACGTGAAACGAACTACTGAAGTCCGTTTTGGGTTTCCTCAAGCTCGTTTAGTCAAACGAAACCGATTTAATATCTCCTCGTTGGTGACTGTGGTTTTTCTAGTTGGACTTAGCTCTTGTCTTTACAATCATATTTCGTATTCAGCGAGTTGATGTTTGACCTGTTCTGTTTTCTTCCTTTCTCGTTCTAGACGGTCTCGGGTATGAATTTCGCATTCCAAAGAACCATCACCCTTCCACTCGCGTCACATGACCATCACTGTGCTGTTTTTCTTTTCTGTTCCCGTCGATTGACCTTCACTTTTTACTCATGCCACTTGCCTATCTCTCTCTCTGTGCTCGATCGATCGCTTTTATATACATATAAATTCTCTCTAATGCTTTATCACAAGCGTGAACCCTCGCCCTTCCAATCTCATCCCTATCCGACGGAGTGCCATGGTCTTTGGCTTTTTTCAACGTCTACCTATTAACTTCTTTTGTTTTCAACTTCCTACCAGGTCCATCATGTATCTATAAATACATTTGGATGTGATTTTTTAACAATGCCTTTTTTAGCGCTAACTAACTGTTTGATCTAAGACTCAGCGTTGTTCCCGTTGCCAAAGTTAGGTCATTAGCAGGAGTTGGAAACTTAGCACACCCGAAGCTTGCCTGGATGGTCACTATGCTCTGCCTAGATAACGGTGATCGACTGTTTAAGTTCTGCGTAGACTGCTGTTTGTTTTTGTCCAATTTATCTCTCGATGAACGACAACTTTGCGCTTCGGTTCGAATGGATCACATGGCAGTTAGCCACCGATTAATTAGTAGGATCTGCTGGTTAAGACACGTTGCGCAACTCGACGGTAGCCTACCACACAGGACCTTTGTAGTCGTCACTTAGAGCTGAACTCTGTGGAAGCCAACAGATAACGTGGAGACGAGCTATAAAGGAGTTCACAGATCGAATAGGTAGAGTAGAGGGTTCCCGTACTTCTGGTCTGGGTCCAAAAAATGGTTGATTGGAGGCATTAAGGGGTACAGCAGTGGCTTTCTTGTTGTCACTTCTTATCTGTTCGGATGGCTTGAAAGAGATGATACCATATTTATTTGCTTGAGTATCTGAAAGAGAGTCTCTGTTGTGACAAGTGA